CCCCCGGGGTGGGGGAGGGGGAAGGGTCACATCTGGGTGCCCCTGGGGTGGGGGAGGGGGCCACCACCCCACCCGGGTCCCCCAAAATCTTTGGGGAGACCCCAACGCCCCTTTGGAGCATCTCAAGCCATGGGTTTGGAGATTGAGGTCCCTTTCCTGGATATTGGGGTCCCCTCGAGGGTGCTGGGGTCCCCCTCCTGAACGTTTGGGTCCCCTCATGGGTGCTGGGGTCCCCTTGTGGGTGTCAGGGTCCCCCTCTTGGACACCTGGGTCCCCCTCCTGGATATTAGGGTCCCCTTCCTGGACACCAAGGTCCCCTCATGGGTGCTGGGGTTCCCCTCCCAGGTACCTGGGTCCCCTCATGGGTGCTGGGGTCCCCCTCCTGGACATCAGGGTCCCCCTCCTGGATATTAGGGTCCCCTTCCCAGACACTGGGGTCCCGTCATGGGTGTTGGGGTCCCCCTCCCAGACACCTGGGTCCCCCTCCTGGATGTCAGGGTACCCTTCCTGGACACCAGGGTCCCCTTGTGGGTGTCAGGGTCCCCTTCCCAGACCCTGGGGTCCCCCCATGGGTGCTGGGGTCCCCCTCCCAGACACCAGGGTCCCCTTCCCGGACACTGGGATACCCTCATGGGTGCTGGGGTCCCCCTCCTGGATATTAGGGTTCCCTTCTGGACACCTGTGTCCCCCTCCCGGACACCGGGGTCCCCCCATGGGTGCTGGGGTCCCCCTCCCAGACACCTGGGTCCCCTTCCCAGATACCGGGGTCCCCTTGTGGGTGTCAGGGTCCCCCTTCTGAACACTTGTGTCCCCTCATGGGTGCTGGGGTCCCCCTCCTGGATGCCAGGGTCCCCTTGTGGGTGTCAGGGTCCCCCTCTTGGACACCTGGGTCCCCTCATGGGTGCTGGGGTCCCCCTCCTGGATATTAGGGTTCCCTTCCCAGACACCGGGGTCCCCTCATGGGTGCTGGGGTCCCCCTCCTGAATGCTTGGGTCCCCTTCCTGGATATTAGGGTGCCCTTCCCGGACACTGGGGTCCCGTTGTGGGTGCTGGGGTCCCCCTCTTGGACACCTGGGTCCCCTTCCTGAATGCTTGGGTCCCCTCATGGGTGTCAGGGTCCCCCTCCTGGATATTAGGGTCCCCCTTCTGGACACCAGGGTCCCCTCATGGGTGCTGGGGTCCCCCTCCTGAACGCTTGGGTCCTCTCATGGGTCCTGGGGTCCCCTTGTGGGTGCTGGGGTCCCCCTCCTGGATATTAGGGTCCCCTTCCCGGACACTGGGGTCCCCCCATGGGTGCTGGGGTCCCTCTCCTGGATATTAGGGTGCCCTTCCCGGACACCAGGGTCCCCTCGTGGGTTCTGGGGTCCCCCTTTTGGACACCTGGGTCCCCTTCCTGGACACTGGGGTCCCCTCATGGGTGCTGGGGTCCCCCTCCTGGATATTAGGGTCTCCCTCCTGGATGTCAGGGTCCCTTCATGGGTGCTGGGGTCCCCCTCCTGAACGTTTGGGTCCCCTTCCTGGATGTCAGGGTCCCCCCATGGGTGCTGGGGTCCCCCTCCCGGACACCTGGGTCCCCTTGTGGGTGTCAGGGTCCCTCTCTTGGACACTGGGGTCCCTCATAGGTTCTGGGGTCCCCCTCCTGAACGTTTGGGTCCCCTCATGGGTGCTGGGGTCCCCTTCCCAGACACTGGGGTCCCCCTCCTGGATATTAGGGTCTCCTTCCTGGACACCGGGGTCCCCTCCTGAGCACTTGGGTCCCCTCATGGGTGCTTGGGTCCCCTTGTGGGTGTCAGGGTCCCCCTCTTGGACACCAAGGTCCCCCTCCTGGACACCGGGGTCCCCTCATGGGTGCTGGGGTCCCCCTCCTGGACACCAGGGTCCCCTCGTGGGTGCTGGGGTCCCCCTGTGGGTGTCAAGGTCCCCTTTCCAGAGGCCTGGGTCCCCCTCCTGGACACCAGGGTCCCCTCGTGGGTGCTGGGGTCCCCCTGTGGGTGTCAAGGTCCCCTTTCCAGAGGCCTGGGTCCCCCTCCTGGACACCAGGGTCCCCTCATGGGTGCTGGGGTCCCCCTCCTGAACACTTGGGTCCCCTTCCTGGATATTAGGGTCCCCTTCCTGGACACTGGGGTCCCGTCGTGAGT